GAGAGAGAGAGAGAGAGAGAGAGAGAGAGAGGTTTATAACTTTTTATAAGACACCAGCTGAATGTATCTTATTAGTGATTGTCAGATTCATACCAGTGTAGTTATAGTATGAGTACATGGACATGTAGGTACAATCCGAGTACATAACCCCCGGGGGGGGGGGGGGGGCTATTTACTCTTGGCACAATGTATGCGGAACAACAGCAAATGACAAAAGACCCTGAGTCACTTACGAGCTGGAGACCAGTTGGGTGACATTGGCTATGCCGCAACAGCACAGCATCAGCAGCAGTGAGCATTGTCTACCCATATTATTGGCCATGCCCGGGTCTACAGCGTGGAGAGCAACACACAATCAGTTCAACAACAACATAACCTGCACGCTTTAGAGGCACTAAAACATCGATTTTCGGCGAATTCAGTCGGCGCTATTATCGGCTATTTCTTCACAGCCATTGATTTCGTCGTCTTTTCCTGCTGGCCGATTTCGGAAATGCCTAAAGTCGCAGTCCCCTTTCGCAGTATAATGGCTACAGAGACTGTATTTGCATGCCGTTGAGGCACAAAACACATCGATTTTCGGCGAATTCAGTGCGAAAATTGCATATTCGGCGAAAAGATTGGTGATTTCGTCAAAACCACAGTTTTCGACGAATTTTCCGGCCGGCCGATTTGGGAAATGCCATGATTGTAGTGATATGAGGAGGGGGTACAGTGGTGGGGATTTGATCCAATGTGTCTTCAGTACGATGTACAACAACGCGAAAGATAACTGTTACTAAACAAGTTGTTTCACACGACGTACGTTTCGCCGTATGGTTCGTGACGGCTCATCAGGTGTGCAATTTGAAACTCGGATGTTGAGCCATAAATACTTTCTGACTGTATATAGTATCATGTTACAGTGATGGAGAGTTACTCTTAACTCGTATCCATATAACTGTTACTGTAAATCATATTTTAACGACCCGCAAACTTTTACGGTTAACGATTTTCTGATTTTCGAAGGTTAACGGTTTGAAAAGTCAACGATTTTCTCAGACAGATGCTCGTCAATGACATTCATTGTTGTCTATCACAGGAATAGTATACCTCGATGTCAGGAGAATAAAGGAAATGAAATTTATCCAGCGTAAGAGCGTAAAAAATTCAAATTATTCGATCTCCTGCCGCTTCGTCAAAATTCATCAGAGAGACTTCGGAGTTGTTCGAGCCGACTGCTGAGCGTCTCGGCTATCATCTAGATCTTTCGATTGTTGAATTCCGTTGAGAATTGACCGAGTTACGATGCGTTGAACACGCGCTGCATGCCATAATGTGAAATGATCGATTTCAATCGTGCGAGGCCCGAATCATACGACTTCTGCTAACGAATTTTAAAATAACGACAAATCTTTGCTCGTTAACTCGTTAGATTTAATTGTTCGTTACATATATTTATGATTTACAGTACTTTGAGTTTGACCGATGATTGTCGATTATTAATTTTTTGATTGACATTCTTTTGTCTCCAAAGCCTTGGCAAAGGCCAATGATTGCATGCCCTTGAACACGCACGACACATTTCACGTAAATGTACGGGTACATGTTACATACGTAACATGTACCAGAAAAAGTACCTTTTTGTTGAATTTTCTGAAGGCATTATCCGCCAAGCAGCAAGGGCTACGCTCAGTAGTCGACACTTCTCGTGATCGATAAGAAAATCAACTGACCAGATCAGAGTGACCGCCACTCGGCGCCAGTACGAGTACTGATCGGCCATATCCAGATGATCTCGGGGACAGATGGAAGAGGCGGCAAATGAATGCTTCAAAGTGCAATGTGCAACGGCACTGTACGGTGCATACACGTGTATCTCGTGCCCTCAGATCATGCACCCTCTTATTACCGTACTGGCAAATCTGTGTATCCCTGACCCAACCTTTCAACTTTCATCAAGAGTGCATGGACTCTTGCTTTTATCTATGCAATTATCAGATTTATGTTTAATACTACAAAAGTATTCGAAATGAGATGAACCAACTTCTTTTACTATCCATCATTGTCTGAGAGAATTGTGATGTGAATGGTCCGCACTTTGTGGTTTTGGCTGGTCCGGTAGTACAGGAAGCCCCTGACAGTCTTGGGTTTGCATCATTCTTGCACTCTATCGGTCTTTTTTCTGATGGTTCTATTTTCTTCTTTGGGGTTCCTGCGAAGCCTTGTGGGCCTAGCCAATTGGTACACTAGTGTAGGCAGCCTGCTTTACAAATACAGTATAGTACAATTTCCCATCCTTCAGGACTACCTATGAAGGGTACTGGGTACATGTTACATTACTTGGGTGTTCCGCATCAAACCAGCAATGTAGAGTGTCCTATTCAGGTCAAAACTCCCTTCAGTCTGTTCAGAGAAGGAACGAACCATGGAAGAATCTAGTGATTTCCCGGAGCCTGGCGTAGTTGTTATGCAAAATACAACATTGACCTTTGAAGTTTTGAGATTGGTTTGAATAACACGTACAACTTCCTTGGCCTACGTACACCACAACTCTGTTCTCTTTGTCACATCATCATAGTCACTTATAATAAAGGATTCTTGTGAGGAACACGTGCATCAGCGACATAACAATTATAGAGTAAGCTTCTCTAAGTGTTAGTCTTCCCGGCCTGGAGCATTCCAATTAGAGTACCGTTTTAATTACAGTGTATGCATGCACTCAGATCTCCAAACAGCTGGCTGTTTCGACCTTGTTACCGTTCCTCAGTTAGGTCTCATCAGAGTATGTACATGTATGTATTTACTTCCATCACCATTCTGGTCTTGGGGGCGCCTCCTGCATGCGTTACTAGACACCATACCAGTAGGCAGGGAGATACAAAACGAAGCTACATGTATATTAGAGGGGTAGACTCTAAATGACTTGTTGAATAGTAACGTGTCAGGTCTAGACTCAAGGAAGAGCCAGCAAATTAAAGCCTGCCCAAACATGGCACTGACTGTACTTTAATAGTCAGTTCCTAGTTATACGAGTGCACTCTCGCGTTTACGACTTCATGTGTGACACTAACTGACAGCGAATAGCGGTCGAAACTAATCCTGTTGATTGCCAACATGATGCAAAGTGCTCACCTTTCCGACCACAAAGGACGTGTGCTAAGCTCAATTGCGTGATCCGTCCAGCTGCGCATGCACATATGCCAGTTCCCGTCTCGCCAAGTCTAACACTATTCCAAGCATCCAATTAGAAATAGAGTTGCTTTACTTGACACAATTCTTTGCTTACAAATACCGATGTATGTTTCCGAAATGAAGTCTCTTTCCGTTCTGGTCTGTTTGCAGAGTGAGCTAAAATACTCCGAATGGGGTTGCATGCACCACATTCGTACCAAAAGAGTTCATGTTTGATTGTCTTGAGAGTACTAACTGGGTGGTGCATGTGGTTTGTACCGAAGAAACCCATCGTGCGCGTGCTGGTGTACAAAAGCTTGCAAGCTAGACCCACCTTGCACCTGTACGTGCACCGCGTGTGTTGTAGATCTACATGACTGGCGTGGTGTGATGTGTGCGCGCGCGCGATTTTATGTGCTAAAACTCAGCACTTGTCCGATTTACCGTATACTCTAATTTCAGAAATTTTCGGTGCTCAATATTTTCGGTATGAGGGCAACAGGCTAGGTTAGGTGAACAGAAATTTTCGGTACAGAGAAGCAGTTCCCTATTGGATTATGTGTGTTAGTGTTTGTTCGGTGTATTGAAATTTTAGGTATGAAACAGACGCACCGAAAGTACCGAAAATAAAAGTACACCGAAAATTTGTGAAATTACACTAAATGGAGTGTGCGATCAGGGATCAGGGATCTAGATCAGGGAGTCGTCAAATATTTGACGACTCCCTGGTCTAGATGCATGTCTACAGTCTGCAGATCTGCTGTGGTATTACCGTAAAGTACCACCAGAGCGCCCCGTCTCGCGAGAGCGCCCCGCCTTGATTTTACAGCCAGAGAAAGGAAAATAAAAAAGGCACGCATCCAGTGAACCTGCACAGTGCAGTGATCCTACTGAGTGACAGATTCTGTAAATACTGTATCTGATGATTCGTTTTATGTGTTGATTCTTCACAAAATGTGTTATTTTGCCCGTACAAGAGGCTCAAAGAGTGAAAAACAAAAAAAAACAAAAAAAAGAGAAAGGAAAATCGTATGGCAGAGTGCAACGAAGTGTGTACGATGTGAGAATCTTAGTGTACTAAGGTCACACTTGGCAGGTTTTTGGGTGGAGCTTGTAATTGTGTCCTCTTGAAGGTACGGATTGACTGCAAAACGTGCAATATGTGTACAAGGTTGTTGTTGTTGTTGTGTTTATTTTAATTCGCAAACCAAACGGGCAGATCTGCCCAATGAAAAGGTGGCGAATGCAGATAGAAAGCAGTAATAAATGAAATTGGGGACTGATGTAATTAGGATAGAGGTGGAGAAAAACTAAGCCAGCTGATCATCAAACAGGACGTTTGGTACTCTAGGTACTAAGGCCAGTAAGTGTGTGCGGGATCATGCTGGCGCGGAACTGGCGGAGCGTGGAGATGGCACGTACATGTATATCGCTGGGTAATGTGTTCCACAGCTGGGCGCCCCGGAACGCGAGGCAACCCTTGCCGAACCTGGTGGAAACTGGCGGTTGGCGCAGACCCATGGTGGAGTGCAACCTAGTTGGGCCAGCTGACGAAGGAACTAGGAGGGCTTGCAGTTCAGAACTTGCGTGCTCATTCCGAGACCTCCAGACCAGAACGATGAACTTCTGCCTGAATATCTCGGATACTCTGTAGGTGTCCAATTGCAGCAGGAGAGTACGCGCGGAGGTGTGATGCGAGAGTCCGAAAACCGCCCTTGCCGCCCGATTCTGCATGACTTGTAGCCGATCCAATTGGTTGGCAGTAAGAAGTAGGCCTTGACGGATTATGCTAGCATAATTTTTCGCATAATTCCTACCAAAATCGAATAAGCGCATAATTCGAGGCAAATTGCATACGAATCGCATAAATTGGAATAATCCGCTTGTTCGCATCAAATTCCATACAGTTGTACATGTTCTACAAGTACAGGTACAAGTAGACGCACCAGGAAGTTGTAGGTTTACGGCTGCCTTGATAATATGTCCAGTCCACTACAATCAGTGACGGTCGTAGCTACATGTAGGTCGGACGGTGCGTTGACCCCGTTGAACTTTTCCTACTACAGTGCAACGCCCTCTACAAAAAATTCCCCTGTTATTTTGCACAGAACCATCATATACATTAGCAGCATATGTGAGCACGATGCGGCATAATATGATAACTGTTAGCATAAAAATAGCATAATTCTGCCATTTTTTCAGCAATGCGAAAAGCATAATTTCACGAAAATATTAGCATATTAAATCCGTCAAGGCCTAGTAAGAAGCGGGGAAAACGCATTGGATCCGTACATCAGGTCAGACATGATGATCGCGGTTCATGTCGTATGACCTACAGACAGCAGACCACCTCCACAATACGACCACGAAAGGATGAGATGGTGGGGCGCTCTGGCGGTACTTTACGGTATGTACGGTAGTGTACTGATTGAGGCGGCCATTCACGCCATGCACGACACGTTCCATGAAGAAGACGTTGACGCTGTGCTTATGGCGGATGCATCCAATGCGTTCAATCGCCTTAACAGAGAAGCATGTATGCGCAACGTAGCGCACCTCTGTCCAGCCATCACACCCGCTATCGTAAACTGCTACCGTCAGCCGGCCCGCCTATTCGTGGACGGGGAGTGCCTCCTATCGCGAGAAGGCACAACGCAGGGAGATCCTCTTGCTATGCCGATGTACGCTTTGGGGGTACTCCCCCTGGTGCGCAGAGTGGCAACCCCAGGAACACGCCAGAGCTGGTATGCGGATGACTCGTCCGCGGGTGGCGGGCTCAACCCTCTCCGCCAGTGGTGGGACCGACTCGTCGGGGATGGGCCGGCGTTCGGGTATTTCATTAACCCCAGCAAGTCCGTCCTCGTCGTCAAGCCGGACAAGCTAGAGGCAGCCGAGACCATCTTCGCCGGCACGGGTGTGTCTATCACCACTGACGGGTGCCGTCACCTTGGATCAGCCATCGGAACTGATCAGTTTGTGCAGGAGTTTGTGGCTTCCAAGGTGGCCACCTGGTCGCAGGAGCTGTGCAAGCTGACAGATTTCGCCCGGTCACAGCCTCAAGCAGCTTACTCTGCACTGGTGAACAGCCTCCAACACCGGTGGTCCTTCCTGTGTCGGGTTCTCGATGGTGCTGCAGAACAGCTGGCACCCCTGGAGGACATCATCCACCGCCGCCTAATCCCTGCCATTAGTGGACGGACGGCGCCCAGTGAAGCTGAACGCATTTTGCTCACTTTCCCCTGCCGGCATGGAGGCCTCGGCGTGGCCAACCCTGCCACTTTTGGCTCACAGTACGGCACCTCCAGGCTAATCACCACTGCGCTGTACGACAAGATCATGGCGCAAGAAGAGCACCTCGATGATGCTCTTGCCTGTGTCCGCAGGGCCAAGAGTCAGGCTCGCTCTGAGGCCAGAAAGGCAATGAAGATAGCTGCCGATACGTTCCGCACCGAACACAGCGAACTCGATCTCGCTATCAGTCTGGCAGAGGAGAAGGGAGCATCAAGCTGGCTTACCTGCCGACCCATCGCTCGCCATGGCTTCGCTTTGTCGAAGGGGGAATTCCGGGATGGCCTCTGCCTCCGTTACGGTTGGACGCCTTCTCGCCTGCCCACCACCTGTGTTTGCGAGAAGGCATTCACCACTGCTCACGCCTTGTCCTGTCCTTTCGGTGGGTTCCCCTCGATCCGCCACAACGAGGTGCGCGACATACTGGCAAGCTCATTGAAGGGTGTCGCCCACAACGTCGCAGTGGAGCCACATCTCCAACCCCTGACTGGGGAGCAGTTTCAGCTCCGGTCAGCATCAACCGAGGATCAAGCTCGTTTGGATGTGGTGGCCAGTGGAGTTTGGGGGGGGGGTCGGTTCGAACGCACTTTTATTGATGTACGGGTGTTCAACCCTTATGCGTCTTCGAACCGCACCTCCTCTCTCTCTGGCTGCTACCGGCACCATGAGCAAGAGAAACGGCGTCGATATGATCGGAGAGTCCGAGAAGTGGAGCGATCCACTTTTCTCCCCTTTGTGCTCTCTTCCACCGGAGGATGCGGCAAGGGTGCCGCTGCACTGGTGAGCCGGATTGCACATCTCCAGTCGCTACGTGGGAGGGAGGCGTATTCTGTGCTAATTGCCCACCTCCGCTGCAGGCTGTCTTTCGCCCTGCTGCGTTCGAGTGTCATGTGTCTGCGTGGGGCTCGCCGAGTTTGGCAGCCTCCAATGGATGGCTGTGCCTCCCTGGCTGTCGTGGAGGCTAGGGTGTCCCGTTGAGCCTTGCCCCGTGATTGTGCGAACTATGCTATGCTTCTCTTGCTGTCTGATCACATGCGACGTCATCATTATGATTGTGATTTGTTTTCAATCCTCCGCCATGGCAAATTGTGTTTTGTTCGCCCGTAAAAGAGGCTTTTACTACTGATGACGATTTGGAGCAGTTGGTTGAGACTTTCGTAACCATGGTAACTCTGAGAGCCTCAGACCCAGCGACTTTCGCACTGTACTTGAGCCTTGACTCGAGTCGAGAGAGTTGAGGTAAAGATTTTTTAAGTGGTCCACTTTACACTGGTTTGCTGTGAAATACCCGGCCTTGATTGAAATGTATGGATCCAGAATAAGCGGTGCCAAGCAGGGAGTCGTAAAATATTTTACGACTCCCTGGTGCCAAGCCTCAAGGACCTTCGACTTCGTCCCGAGAAAGAGCGTTTTTTGGTTTTTTTTAATGAAAGTGCACATATGCCTACATAGAATGGAAGAGAAAAACAACAACAACAACATCAAGAGAAAATAGACTACAAAGGGCGTGTAGGTGCTATTGAGCTGTGCCGGTGAGATGAAGTGCGCTCCCCGACCAATGGTCTTGGGATCAAGGCGCACATCACGAACCATGGGGGAAAGGGAGAGAAGAAAGACTGTGTGTGAAGAGCGAGAACCTGAGAGCCAGACAATGATGGAGAGAGAGAGAGAGAGAGAGAGAGAGAGATGGGGGGGGGGGCGGGGGCGGGTGAGTGAGTGCCAGATTAGTTCAGGAAGCTATGGCAATGGACCAACAGCTGCGTTGCTTTTAGTGGGGGGGGGGGTGGCAATACGGAGAAGTTAGATCGGAGCTGCTGCCAGGCAGAGTAGTGTGCAGGCACTGGATCAGCGAGAAAGGGGCCA